TAATTGTTTTTGTTCTCCCCTTGGGCCCCCTTTCTTTTTTTAATTGTCCAGTTGTTTCTTTCTGTATGGGTGTGCCCCTCGTCTGCTCTTTGCTCTCCCCCCTCCTTTTATTACTTACTTAGGATAAATCAGTGGGGATAGTTTTTAAAAGCCTGTTAAAAGGAACATTTTAACAATGTTCTCCTACAAAAAGGCCAAAGAATGAGAGGAGAGTGAGAGCGTTGAGATAAAGGGCTTGGATGGGCGATCTCACAACAAAGCAATCAGCCGCCTTTGACCTCCTGGGGCCTGTCTCCCACGGCTGTGCCTGGCCCCATGCGCTGGCATCTTTCCGGAAATCTCCACCACACACATGCTGACTGGGGCAGCTTCTCAAAGGTGAGAATAACATGGATCAAAGCCACTTGGGCACTGTCTCTATGGCTTCTTGCCCAAAATACCAGCGTACACACATCCTGGAGAAAGGTATTAAGTAAAAATGCCTCCCTGGTGGTTTCTTTTTTCTCTTTTTCCTTGGCTTGATACTAAAGTTAGAAGGAAGTGAGAGCTGATATAAAAAAAGTGCTTTCTCTCTGTGTTTGAATATGTACAAGTATACACACATGTGCTTTGTAAATGAAATAGGCACCATTAATTATTGGCCAAAGCTTTCCAACTAAATAAAAAATGTGTGTGAACTTTTCTAATTAAAACCAATGACTTTAACTTACATATTTTTGCACCTCTATTCCAAACAGCTAAGGGTAAGTTCAATGCAAGTTTCAAAATAACTGTATTTGTCTGAGTTTGCATAACATCAGACTGGATATTTAACCAAAATAAAAACCCAAAGCAAGGGATCCTCCTAACACCCCTGTGAGGTAAGGTCTACCTCTCAATACTGGTGCACATGCTTTACACGTCAAAGCTCCCAAGTTCAATCCCCAATTGTCTCTAGGTAAATAGTGTGTCAGGGGAGTGCCACTCAGAATAACAATATTGGGCTAAAACAGTAAAAAGCATCTAATGAAATGGACATATGCCATCATTAACTTGTTATTTTTTTAAGATGCCACAATTTTCCTTTGATGGACTATGACAGCAATTTTTTTGAAATATTGGGCAAATCTGAACTGGTGAATAGAAACTTTGAAATTCAATCATCTGTCAATTACACCACACTGATTCTGTTGACATACATTAAAAAAGTGAAATTTCCTTTACATTAAACTTCTTGTAGATCCATTTCATGTTGTTTTCTTGAAAACAGTACAGAAGTAGTTTGCCACCGCCTTCTTTCAGAATGGCTTTTTGCTTTTTTCTTTTTAAACTTCCTGGGTTTCCTGGTGGCTGTCCATCCAAGTTCCCATAAATATTAGTATGTTAGCTCAATTTTAATAGAAGCCATAGAATTTAAAAGAAATCTTAAAAATTTTCTGTATTTCTATGACCAGACATCCCATTCGATGAAAATTCTCCATGACTCACAAACTGTAGAAAATTTGCTGTTTTTGTGGCTTCCTCTTAAAAAGAGGGTAAGGGACATGAGAGCCCTGTCCACCGGTGAGGATGGCCTTTGGTGGCCATATCTATCAGTGTACACCCAAGATGCCTTCATCCTACTTCCCCCCCTCCCCCCCACCACCCCATCCGACCAACCCCCCCCCC